TGCACGGACTTTGGGCTTGGCGCTGTCCTTGGTTGCAAACAGTTCGATTTTTAGTTCAAACTGTTGTTCGCAGCATTTTTTGCTACGAGTACGAGCGAGGTTTTTGTTTGCTGGGGTTTGGAGTTGGGACCCGTTTCAGACACTGTCCTCAGCTCCTGGATTTTGTCCTGTGGGTGTTGCAGTTTCAACAGCTGGCTTGCCACGAGTTGTGTCAGATTCTGTCACGCAGGGGATCTGTCCGCCTCGGATGTTGGTCAGTTGGATGGCGAAGACGGCGATTCGGGGGACACGGGGGGGGGGGGGGGGGAGCCAACGACGATGTGATCGGAGGAGCCGGTGAATGCCTGGAGGAAGTCTGCGCAGCACATCATCTTGTCCAGCATGTCACCCAGCCAACCCGCGGCAACAATACTCTTGATCTTATCATCTCCGATTTCTCACACCCCGTATGCACCACAGCCTATGCACCACTTGGACGATCTGATCATGCCGTTATCATTGCCGAGTTTCTCCAACAGCATCCACGACGCGAAGATCCTGCTGTTCGACAGGTTTGGAAATACGCCCTTGCTGACTGGCACCGCCTGAAAGCCTACCTCCGCAACTTAGACTGGCCCACCAAGATCCATGGGTGTGCGGAGCAGTCCTGTCAGCGCGTAACTGATGTCATCATGCATGGAATGAAACAGTTCATACCATCCAAAGAGCTTGTGGTGCACCAATCCAACCCTGTATGGTGGACACCGGACTGTTCTAACGCCAATCATGCCAAGGAGCGGGCATGGAAGCTGTGGCGACGCGATCCCCGCAACGATAACCACAAGGTCCAGTACATCACAACTGTTAACCACGAAGTGGAAGCGTGTCATGCAGCGCGATTAGCACATCAACGTAGAATTCGCAACAAGCTTAGAGACAGATACCCTGAAGCTGCTGGGAGTCATGCTCGACCCTACTCTCTCCTGCAGAGCGCACACTCGCAGTGTTGCACTGCGCGCCTCCCAAAGGCTGGGTTTCCTACGAAAGGCAGCACCCATCCTGGACGACCATGGTCGAGTGACGGTCTACAAGGGATTCGTGCGACCCTACTTGAATATGCCCCACTGGCCTGGTCGAGCGAAGCCGCAACTAACATGGCCCAGCTGGACAAGGTTCAGCAACGTGCCCTGCATTTCCTGGGACCTGGAACCATCCTCCAAAGTCTTTAGCTTCGTCGGATGGTGGCAGCCCTGTCATACTTGTTCAAGCTGCACTACATTCCAGGGCCTCCCCAGGTAAAGGCCATGCTGCCACCAACCAAGCCCCCTGCCGTAGCTAGCATGTGCGCACGGCAAAAACGTCAGACGCACCATGCCTTTCAGCTGAAGTGGACACCCCCTCGCACAGCCCCTGACTACCTCCTGCGATCCTTCCCCTTCTTCGCCATCACACCCTGGAACAACCTGCCTGCGGACCTCCTGCTTCACGAGCCTCATTCAAGACGCCTCCAAACCTTCAAGGTCAACGTATGTAAGGATCTAATCCGAAAGAGATGGCTGTGGTCCACACAGTTCCTGTGACGATGATTATTGAGACCCATTTAGTATTTACCTCTCTATTAGTACTTGCTTGTTATAATTATTGTTCTCTTTCTTCATTTTCCCTTCTGGTTTAGTCATTACACGTATTTATATTATTTGGTGCAATACTAGCGCCCCTTTCTCGCACCAAATTATTATTTTTGCTACCTGACCATGCAACCCCCCCTTTTTTTCTATGCCAGGTTGCAACGCTAACGCCGAGACCCCTGGTCGGTCGAGTTGCTCCCTGTACATCGGCACGTCGTCCCTACATCCCCTGTGTCTTGTCTAGTGGTTGTCTCCACATGTCTCTTTGTAGGGCTGTGTTCTCAATAAATAAAAAGAAAAAGAAAAAAAAGGGGATGTCAAAGGCACTGAGAAAGACAGCTGTCCGAGGGCCTGTACGAACCAAGCTGGTGGGGAGCTGGCAACCTCCGGGGAATCCACCATAATGGGATCCGGAGCAGGTCTTAGCTCCTCGACGTTGCCAGCACGGATACGCTTTGGGGCCGTACCCACAGCTCAAGGTGAGGCGGACTGGGTCCGCTTTTTTCTGGGTGGAACTGTGGTTTGAACCACGGGTGCAAGCGAAACGATTGCCGGCGAGTTTCGACTTCTCGTTTGTGGCATGGTCAAGCTCTTCCATGGATGAACAAAAATGCAAACTACAACAAAAAAAGAAAGACCACGATGAAGAGAAAAGTTTGAGAACACTGCCAAAAAAAACAGCTGACGCAATCTTGGTGCCGTAACTATGGTGAAAATGCTGGCAAAAATACATTTTTAGTTTCATTCGCTACGCTCAGCCAACGAAAAATAACACTATTGTCTGTGTAGGGATAGTATGGATATAAGAATATCTATATTGAGTTTAGGGATAGTATGGATCTAAGAATAGCTATATTGTGTGTGTAGGGATAGTATGGATATAAGAATATCTATACAGGTCTTCCCTCGTTATAACGAGTCCTGTTAGTACATAAACCCTGTTAGTAAATAGAATTCTGAAATCCCCTGGCGAATAGTGGTCTATACAACTGTTTACAGGTCCGGTTACAACATAATCCGTTAGTACATAAAATCCGTTATAACGACCCTTTGCCCGGGTCCCTGGAGTGCCAAACCCTCATTATAAGATAATATTGACCATGCAGGACCAAGGCCAAAACACGTAGGATACAGCAGAAAGAGGAAACGTATTATGTCTATGTATTCGTGAATATGGACGATCCTTTTGATCCAAAGAAGAGTTATGCTGGAGATTTTCAATTATCTTATAACGAGTTGAAGCATCGATAATTTTTGTTGTATGGAGGGTAGCCCCGGTAAGTACGAATTAGTGCCTATTTTACCTTTAGCTGCAAGTCCTGTTACAAGATAAGTCTCGTTATAAGATGGCCCGGAAATTATCTACTAACGAGGGAGGACCTGTATTGTGTTTAGGGATAGTATGGATATAAGAATAGCTATATTGTGTGTGTAGGGATAGTATGGATATAAGAATAGCTATATTGTGTGTGTAGAGATAGTATGGATATAAGAATAGCTATATTGTGTGTGTAGGGATAGTATGGATAAGAATAGCTATATTGTGTGTGTAGGGATAGTATGGATATAAGAATAGCTATATTGTGTGTGTAGGGATAGTATGGATAAGAATAGCTATATTGTGTGTGTGTAGGGATAGTATGGATATAAGAAAAGCTATATTGTGTGTGTAGGGGTAGTATGGATATAAGAATAGCTATATTGTGTGTGTAGGGATAGTATGGATATAAGAATAGCTATATTGTGTGTGTAGGGATAGTATGGATAAGAATAGCTATATTGTGTGTGTAGGGATAGTATGGATATAAGAATAGCTATATTGTGTGTGTAGGGATAGTATGGATAAGAATAGCTATATTGTGTGTGTAGGGATAGTATGGATATAAGAACAGCTATATTGTGTGTGTAGAGATAGTATGGATAAAAGAATAGCTATATTGTGTGTGTAGGGATAGTATGGATATGAGAATAGCTATATTGTGTGTGTAGGGATAGTATGGATATAAGAATAGCTATATTGTGTGTGTAGGGATAGTATGGATATAAGAATAGCTATATTGTGTGTGTAGGGATAGTATGGATATAAGAATAGCTTTTCTGTGTGTGTAGAGATAGTATGGATATAAGAATAGCTATATTGTGTGTAGAGATAGTATGGATATAAGAATAGCTATATTGTGTGTGCCGGTAGGGATAATAATAATAATAATATGAACAGGTCGCATATTCGGGAGAATGAAGTTGAAGGCAGCCTAGAGAGCGTGTGTGGGCAGGCGTGTGTTTACCGCCATATTGCCAGGTGTGCTTTTACCACCATATTTATCAACCAGGTCGCATATTGCCCGCATAAGAAATCATACGGAGGTCATGCATCTGTCAATGATCGTTAACCAGAGTTGCTTGTTGGTGGCGAGGTTGAGGCATTCCTGAATCGGCACATTCAGAGGTTCGAGGTCTTCTCTGATGTTGTCGACCCATCTCTTGTGGGGTCGTCCACGGGGGCGCTTGATGTCCGAAGTAATGAGGGCTAGCTGCAGTGCCTTTTAAGAGGCCGCGTCTCGTCCTTCCCGGGCAACGTGCCCCAGCCACAGGAGGCGGCGCTCTTTACATGTTTGTGAGATCAGGGCTTGGTAAATCTTCTGGTTGGATATGTGGTGAGGGTGGACAATGTTCATAATATATCGGAGCTTGCGACGATGCCATGCATCCAGTCGATCCTCTAGCTTCTTCGTTAGTGTCCAGAGGCCACAGTTGTACAAAAGTACAGGCAAAATCAGAACTTTAACACATACATAAACGAGAGTCAAGACTGTGGTAATCCCAAGCAATGGAACTGAAAGCACGGTTTGCTGCATTTATTCTAGAGTTCACGTCCTCAGCTGACCCTAGCAAAGAGCCAAAGAGCTTCACTGATTTCCACTCTTGGTCAGCCTTAGTCGCGGTGAATGTATGGGTTTTCTGAAGGTTAGTTTAAGGTTGTCTTCGGCGAAAACTTTCTCGCACTGAGGTAGGAGGGCCGTAATTGTTTCTTTCTCAGTGGCATGAAGGGTGGTGTCGTCTGCGTACTGAGAGTGTGGACAGGGTTGAACTGAAGGCAAGGAAATCAAATCAAATTTACGCATAGCTCCTTCAGCATACATGATATACATTATCGGGGAAAGTGGGTCGCCTTGGACAACTCCAATGTTCGTGTCAAACGGTGTACTGAGCTGGTTGCTGAGGTTGACCCGAGCAGACGTGTTGGACATGAGTGTTTCCTGCATTCTCACAGGGCAGTCTGCTGCCACCATCCTCTCCAGAGCTGTATAGGGAAACAGCTGTGTAGGGATAGTATGGATATAAAATGGTCCCTGCTTGGAATTTGGCTTTGTGTTTTTGTTAACATCCTTACAGCTCAATCTGGCATGCGCAGTGACTTGGAGGGAAAAATCGGCGAAGTGAAGTCAGCAGTTACTGCTGTACCAGCTACCGTGGAAGGCATTGTCAGAAAGGTGAGTTTTTGTCACACTAATTTAGTTAAACTCGGATGGGGAGATAATTTAATTATGATCAAAAAGGAGAAGCAAAAATGAAGAAAGTCAAGTTCCATAACGTTTTCTTGTGACTGTCATCAGTGGAACGCCGTCACATAAAAATGTAATAACTAAACACACACACTTATATACATGTAGCTAATATGGTTTCAGGTAGAAATACAGCAGCTAACAAGTACAAAAAGCGAAGTTTGCACCTTTTCAATGTGTGAATATAGTGTATGTGAGAAAGGTAGTGGCAGATGAATGTGATACTGTGTGAATGAATGTAATGGTGCGTGTGTATTACTTGAAGAGTGTGAGCGATACAACGTTTTCTTTCTGTTTACATAGCACAGGGTCACGAGTACGAATATACACAGCTTCCAACACCTGCAATTGCTTGAAGAAACGTGCGCAACGAACAACACTAAACCAGGAATCGTCAAACACCTTACGACATTCTGGACTGGACACCAAATGCTTGTATTCGTCGTCATCAGTCTTCATCTCCTCGCGACACCACTTCCCTCTCCTTGATTCGTTCTGTGCCGTGCCTGTGCTTCCTCCTGCGTCTCCTTGCCTTGTGTTCTCCAATTGTCTCAGTCGTGCCTCTGCTAGTCTCTTGCTTCTCCTCGGTTCTGCTCTGTTTTCAAGTTGTTCCCCTTCCGCTCTTACCGTTGCAGCAACATGGTTTGTTGAGGAGCGACCGTCCGGCGGCCTCCCTTGCCGTGGTCCGGTTTCCGAGGGGGGAACCAGATTAGTCTGCTCGTTCTCCATGGAAGTAGTCGGTGTTTCTGTTTCCGAATTGTGAGCCGTGCTAGGTGTAGAAATAGGCAGCGGATGTTTTCGTGGTCTCCCACGCTTCGGCCTGCTTAACCTGGCAGCCTGGGACAACAATGATAATGGGACGCGCTGCTTGATGCGTTCGGACAAGTGTTGAAGCGTCCTGCCAACATACCGACTACCACATTACCACATTGCTTTCGATAGTGAGGAAAATGTTATCAACTCCAAAGCACGAAAAAGGCCAAAAACTAAACCAAGAACATATGCAATAACATGTTATTTATAAAGACAGGACAAGTGAATAATTAGTCAGTCCATTGTTCATGATGATCTCCGACGGTTACGTCTGCAAGCGAGCCTCCGCCACTGCCAAAGCAGCGTGGGCTCCGCAGGAGGGTGCAAATTTCAAACCAAAATTTAAACGCCTACAACCGCGAATGCACATGATACAGGATTTCAGAAGGCTGAAGGAAATCCTGCATCTAACAAATGCCATAACATGAGAGTAATGCTCACCCCTCTTCTCCGCCAACAGATGAGCAATTCGTTTGTACAGTGCTGTTGATGCTGGACCCATTCCGCCACTGGCTGACATGACCGCCGGAACAAAGGAGGCTTGCTCAACCTGCCTCACCCGCTCCTCATAGTGCCTTCTCTTTTCTTTTTCATGTCGCTGATACACAATAGTATGTGGTGCAGATCGATTTGAGCGTGAGTGAGGATTAAAAACCCGTATATCAATAAGTGTACGCTCAAAACGACTGCCCCACAAACCATTGGCAGCGACATCCAACCGGGCACGGTCTTCCACATTTGCGGTCCGGTAGCGAAGACGCTCCCCCGTCAGCGGTTGCAGCAAGGGCTCGATGGACACACTGGTGCACACCTCGTCCAGCAGCCGGGCCGTGACGTCCCGAATACCATTGTGTCTAATGGAGGGAAACCCTCCATAGGGGCACAACAGGGAATGCGCGACAGTTGCCTCTTGGCCGCAAGAGCAGTGTGACGGTACCCTGGCCGGTGTCCATCCGTAACGGAGGCAGAGTCCGTCCCAAAACTCTCCCTTTGTTAAATTAAAATGATATTTCTTAAGTGGACGGCACGTCAGCCAGCTCGACGACCCTTTCTCCTTCGCGACGTCTATGACATGTCGTAGCGACTCCGACGCACTGCCCGATATCGCGTCGAATTCCAGTTTCTGATGACGTCGAGAAGATGCCTTGGCGTCTCTCTTGGCCGATCTGATTAACACTACCGAGTCACCGATGGAGTCATCCCCTGACAAGATTCTCCGAGACAAAGGGTTGGTCATCCGAACCGACGAGTCGTATTGTTGGCATAGGGACACAGGGTTAATCAAACCGAGCCCACCCAGACGACACGGCAAAGCCATAAGCCGTCGGAGGGTGTCGCCTGGGGGTGCACGGCAAGTTAAGGCGGGGATCATTTGTGGCGTCAAGGGATGATTGCCCTCGTCTTCTGGGATGCTGGCGTGGCTAAGTGGTGCTGCCCCAAGAACTCTTCTAAGGTGAGGTAATGTTGACTTGATGAAGTTTTGTTCGTAGCTTGTTCTTGTACGCTGTGCCGTAGCTCGTTTGTAGACCCATAAATCGTGCCAATATTGGGCCAATATTGAGGGGTATGCCAATTTCATGGTTCCCTTCAAAAGATTTTGTGCGGGCTTTGGAATGTCGGTCTTCACCCCAAAGCAAACCTACCTGCAAAATTTGAGCGAAATCTGAGAGATTGACTTGCACATATGTTCTCAGACATGCTCTCTTAAGTCTCCAACATTGCGTCCATCCACTGAGTCATCCGTATTTGCTGCTCAGGATCAGGTGGTTAATACCAGAAACTACCAGAGATCGGTTATTGGCGACACTTCCGTGGTGGACGTGTGCCGTTTGTGCGGAGGTCCGGGGGAGACTGTTGACCATATTTTGGCATGCTGCCCCGTGTTGGCACGGACGGCATACATTACTCGCCATAATCGTCTTGCCGCTGTAGTCCACCGGGCACTCTGTCATCACTACAAACTGGTATCTCCTGCTCCCCCTGGCCACTTGCCACACTATGTCGAGGATAGTGAAGGCCGTAAGTTAATGTGGGAAATGCCAATCCCAACAGATAGGATGGTTGGAGCAAATCGGCCGGATCTTGTTTGGGACGATGGCAAGTCAGTCCAACTTATTGATGTCAGTGTGCCACTGGATCATAGAGTAACGCTAAAACATGCTGAAAAGAGAGCGAAGTACTTGCCCCTCGCAGTGGGAATTGGGCAGATTTGGCAGCGAGAGGCAGTGTCCGTAGTGCCCATCATAGTTGGTGCTCTTGGTGGCCTGACGAAGGAAGCGGCTACCTCAATTAAGCAGCTATGTGGAGAAGAGCGGTACCTTCACGAACTGCAGCAGGCTGCTATCCTTGGCTCGATGGCCATTCTAAGATCTGTTTTGGGTGCAGCATAGGGCTCTTCGCTGTCCCTGGTGGGCTTCTTATGCTCTATATGTTATTGTATTCGTTTTAGTTTGTAATTGAAACACTGTGGTATTTCTGTGGCCGTTCAACATTTTCTTCAGACTTCTTAACTCACACTTCCTGTGAATCCACACAGGCGGGTGGGACGCAGCCCTCACTGTAACCCACACACTTCACGTACAAACTAGCACGCGGGGAGCCCCAAGTCATAAATTATTAACTGGTTTAAAGGGGAAGTTAAGGCAAAAATTAAAATTTCACCAGTTGTAGTCTTCGGGGTGCTGAGTCGAATGGTCTTGGTCCGAGAAAGCTGAGATGCTCCCTTCCTACTTGAATCCCTATCGAACTCGCGCACTTCCACCGAAACTGGGTGACTGCGCCCTACTAGATGGGGATTTGTATGCAAAATGTCACTAAAAGCGCCATTTCGTTCTTATTAAAGCACGGAGGACCGCGATTGGCCCATATGTTGTAGTCTTTTGGACGCTGAGTCGACTGGTTTTGGTCTGAAAAGGCTGCGATGCAGCATTCCTCCTTTATTCCCAATCAAACGTGATTGAACAAGTGGTCACGTGCTCCTGGGTGCCCAAATCACCTGGTCACCACGCCAGCAGGCGACAACTTTCACACCAAGGTTCAACTCGAGTTCAACTCGAGTGACAGGACTGCACCCAGAAAAGGTCAAACAGGCTAGTAAGTTGTACCCTGCAGGCACGGTGACCAGGTGACTGGTGTACGCAGGAGCACGTGACCGCTTGTTCAACCATGTTCGATTGGGAATAAAGGAGGAACGCTGCATCGCAGCCTTTTCGGACCAAAACCAGTCGACTCAGCGTCCAAAAGACTACAACATATGGGCCAATCGTGGTCATCCGTGCTTTTATAAGAACGAAATGGTGCTTTTAGTGACATTTTGCATACAAATCCCCATCTAGTAGGGCGCAGTCACCCAGTTTCGGTGGAAGTGCGCGAGTTCGATTGGGATTCAAGTAGGAAGGGAGCGTCTCAGCTTTCTCGGACCAAGACCATTCGACTCAGCACCCCGAAGACTACAACTGGTGAAATTTTAATTTTTGCCTTAACTTCCCCTTTAAGGGAAAGAGACAAACGGGAAAAGTCTGAAGAAAAAATTGACTGTCACCACCAGGACTCGAACCAGGGACCCTCGCTTGTAGCCAGCAATGCTCTAACCACTGAGCTATGGTGTAGTCGTCATCCCAGCAGAGGCCGTTCAACATTTTCTTCAGACTTCGTAACTCACACTTCCTGTGAATCCACACAAGCGGGTGGGACGCAATAATAATAATAATAATAATAATAAGCTGTTGCACAGCCTTAATTAGTAATCCTGCTGCGGTCCTTCCTCTATCTATTCGGGTCACTAGCGCCAGCAAAGGTGGAAGGTTCTGTGAGATCATTGACTTAACTCGGTATCACCCTGGACTGTGTGCGGCCCAAGGCCAGGATGTCCATGTTGGTGTTGGCCAGCGCAATCCGCAGCTAGAAGATATCCAACGCCAACTCGAATCCCTATTGGACAAGCTCTTGTTTGTTGCCCATGTCATCAAACCTAACAGAACTTTTATCACTGGACCTCCAACTACACACAGATGTAAGTGGCACCCATTGATGAGGTGCTTACAACAGGAAGTTGACTCAAGGTTCATGGAACAGCACCCACATGCTTCAGTCTAGGGAGTGGAAGGATCTATATGGCCCTTGTAGCAGCCTGCACTGCAAGGGGTAGAGTCAGATTTTGCTGAAACGTCTTCAAGCTACAAACTCCGCACTGTCATCAATATCAGTGTAAATCGGATGCACACTGCTAGCTCCCAGAATGTCACTGCCGATTGGCTTTCTCCTTTTCTTATGCAGGAATTTCGTTGTCATGCTCCAGTAGCCCAGCTAAACCCGGACCATGGTCATCTTCCTGTGTTCTTGTGAGCGAAGTCACCAAGTAAACTGCCTGTGCAATTGCTGCTGATATCAGATGCACCACACTCTGCCGGTGAATGTTGTTTTGTTGGTTTGATCGCTTTGCAATCTGCAACCTTACACAGCTTCTGATCCTGCCATTTGCTACCTTGCACTTTATTGCTCGCTGTGTCTGTCCTTGTGTGATATCTATTTACTTGGAAGATGTAAGAAATGCACACGTTGAACAGGGTCTAGAGGATCCCCTGGCCAAGACCTGGCTTATCAAGGCAGTGTTGATGGTTGTCCAACAATGCCATGTGATTGAGGCAGTGAAGCATAATATTATATTGCCCATAACCATGCCTATTCTAAGGAAGATAGTTTATGCCCGCCAGCCCGTCCACAATTTGGCTGAGCTTGACTGCGTTCTTCTTGAGTTTGCTGCACTTTCGACATCCTTCGGTTGCTAAGATGCTTTGAATGGATCGAGGACCTGCCGACAGACTGCATCAGATTTGAATCAGGCAGCATAATCATACTGTTGAAGAGATCAAGGACTGACACATTTGGAAGGGAGTCCAAATTATCATTGGTCCGGCTAGTTGCCCTTCCTTCCCTCTGTATGCTACACTACCTGACAATGATTGGCAGTCAGAATGCATCTGATCCTCTACATGCACTTGCCAATGGTATACCGCTCTCCAGAGGTGTTTTTTCACCAGTACTGTCCACTTGGCAAGGGTATGCCTCTATCCAGAGCTATTTTCACCCGTACTGTCCACTTGGCAAGGGTATGCCGCTATCCAGACCTATTTTTACCACGTACTGTCCACTTGGCAAGTGAATGCCGCTATCCAGAGCTATTTTCACCCGTACTGTCCACTTGGCAAGGGTATACCGCTATCCAGAGGTGTTTTTCACCTGTACTGTCCACTTGGCAAGGGTATGCCGCTATCCAGAGGTGTTCTTCATCAGTACTGTCCAATTGGCAAGGGTATGCCGCTATCCAGGGGTGCTTTTCACCAGTACTGTCCACTTCCTGCTTGAAAGTGCTGCGGTTCCAAACACGGAACTTTACTCGGCATACTCATTTCGAATTTGTGCTGCTACTACCGCCGCCATGGCAGGGATACCTAAATGGCAAGAATACCTGATTCACTGATTTGTCTTGCCGCCAGGTGGCAGAGGGATGTGTGCCTACGCTATATGCACGTTACTATGGAGACTAAGTCAAAGATCTCAGCTTGGGCTTGCCTCCGTGAGTGAGCTAATCTGATTTCTAACATGGACAGTTACAAATATCGGTACGTTCTGTCCACGAAATGACCTCCTTTGGTGAATCTCACTCCTTGATAACTGCTTGCTGCAGGGGTTGTGAGGGGATAGTGTTGCTGCTTTATGTAGCTCTATCGCTTCCAACTGGTGATTTTCTTCGCTAATTGCGGCCCATCATGAACCAGTTGCTGCCATTTGCATTGGCATTGCTTTGCAACTGCATTTTGGCGCTCTGTGGGTTTATTGCCGTTCCTCCCGAGCCAGTTGCTGCCAGTGGCCTGAAATTGCTTTCCTGCTCTTTGAGGTTTCGCACTAAAAGACCAGCTACTCGAAGCAGCACACTATCTCACTACTGCTACTGCTACTGCTACTGCTCCTGCTACTGCTACCGCTACCGCTACCGCTACCGCTACCGCTACCGCTACCGCTACCGCTACCGCTACCGCTACCGCTACCGCTACCGCTACCGCTAGCAGCATGACTGCCCAGATGGGCAAGTGTCACCCCTATGAAAAGGGGACCAGAAAACGGGAGTCGGATCACAAGCAGGACCGCGAATGTCTGGCTAGGTCCTGCTGCCGGCGGAAATTGCGTTTACAATGTGGGCAGCTGAGGGGCAGAGCTGCTCTCTCAGCAGCAGATGGTCTCGCACCACGATTGCAGTTGTGACACTTGAACCCGGCCGCAGAACGGAAGCATCGCTGACATGTTGGGCAGTGCTGGTGGCAACAAGCTGAAAGTGGCACAGACAGACTGACTGTTGGTGTAGGAGAACTCGTGACAGGCTGGCATCGATGAACAGAGTAGCCACCCTTGCTGCGGAACCACCTCTGGCAGTTCTGGCACTGCACTGATCCACGCTGGAGCTGGATGGGAAGCCGTCTCTGAGTGGTGCATTTGTGCCGCGTTCTATCGGAGACCCATGAGTAGTTCCGGCCACACACTGCGCAATGCACAGACTTGGGCATGGTGGAGCTCGACTGAGGGGCAACCCGTACTTCCCTCAACTGTTGGCGGTCCTGAGCAAGGATGAACCACTGAGATGGCTGTTGCAGTGCAAACTTGAGGTCGGTCATCACCGTGCCTTTCCACCGTCGCCAGGGACAACAAAAAGGCCGAGGCACAGGTCGCCACCCAAAGAGGAGTTGGATGGGGGGTGCGATCCTCATCCATCCGCGCAACGTGCCCAGTCCATTCCAGACGCCGATTGCGGAGGCGTGTAGACATCAGCACTGGGTCTCCCCAACGGTTCCGCCCCACACACACGCACGCACGCACGCACGCACGCACGCACGCGCGCGCGCGCGCGCACCCACGCACGCACGCACGCACCCACGCACGCACGCACGCACGCACGCACCCACGCACGCACGCACGCACGCACCCACGCACGCACGCACGCACGCACGCACGCACGCACGCACGCCCGCCCGCCCGCCCGCCCGCACGCACGCCCGCACGCACGCACGCACGCACGCACGCACGCAAGCACGCACGCACGCACGCACGCACGCACGCACGCAAGCACGCACGCACGCACGCACGCACACACACACACACACACACACACAACGGTTCTGTTCTTTGTTGCCTCATCAATACAGCACTGGGGAATGGGGCTCAGCCTGATAGCAATGAAAAGTGCAAAGCTGAAGAATTGACCAATACTACTCAGCCTGGTTTACAGCGCACAGTTTTTTGAAGTTTTCCCGGGCAGTGAATTCCTACACCGTTTCTTGATATGTGTTCGTTGTTAAGACAATACGTAATCAAACACCGTGCACATAGCACGGTATGTTATAAAGACCACATGGATAACATATTCAATATTCATTATATTCAACATTCATTATTAGTTTTCTCCCGTTATGTGAACAGATTGTATGATGAATACTGATTGGCCAACAAGCTAGTATGATTTTCACCCGGTCAGGATTGTTAACTTATCAATATGGTCTCTACTGTGTATCTACAGGTTGCAAAACAAAATCACTATATGTCCATCCACAATAACCATACATCATTTGGTAGCAAGGGTAATGGCAGGGTGCAGTTTGAATATCCACGTGGTATCACAATCAGCAAAGATGGAAAGGTCTTTATTGCTGATCGGGACAATCATTGGGTGAAGGTTAGTTTATAAAAACCAGCACCCACATCTATCTCAATACACAATTTACATCATCTTCTTGATGTATAGCAAGACATGTAAACTGCATCTGCAGTATTACTCTACAGTAAGTCATTGGTCTGGTAGATAGTGTTATCAACCCTCATTTCCTTATGATAGTTTCTCCTGTCCTAAAAGCCATCATACCATAGGAAGGTGTGAAGCGATCTCTTGGATCCCCATATTCTATTTGCATACCGGAGCTTTGGGATTCGATATAACAGTGTATACCAACCCGAAATCGGGTTTCACTTTGCTGGAAAAAAAATTCGTAAAAGAAAACTGCCCCACACGTGATCAATAAGCTCAAACGCGGAAACTTTAGCTTCTTCTTCACCTTTTTTTCTTTGCTCGAGGAAATGCTTCTTAGAAATTTTCTGTTGTCTTGAGTTTTCGGTATGGATTACGCACCTCAGGATGTTTTTTTCGCTAGTCCAGCGGTGGGCTCTGGGCTAAGCCTTGCGCTAGTCCAGCGGTGGGCTCTGGGCCAAGCCTTGCGCCCACTCGAGAGGTGTTTGGCTTCTTTGGAATGCCGATTTAGTCGACGCGGGTGTGAAATTTGAAGTCCAACTCTAGGCAAGAGCATGACTCGCGCCGGACCGTGGATGGTACATGCACCCCGGAAACTGATCCACTCCTGATCCCAGTTCCTTCCCAATTGGCTGAGTCCTCTTTGGCGAGGTCTACTCTGCCCGCTCATGCATCGCTCATGCATCTAGAGCCCGTCTTGAGCATACGCGTGGCGGGTTCCTTGATGGCGACCTGGTAAATAATCCCACCCTGAAGCCACTTGCTGCTCGGTCCACCTCGAGAGAGCCACTTAGGCTACAACCTCTTCCCTCAAACCTGTGTGATCCTGAAGATCCAGCAGGTCTGGCACAATCAAGCCACCTGCCGCTTGTACGACGCTATCTGGTGTGGCAACTGATGATTTGGACTCTCAGTCTGGTAGCACACATAGTCTGGAGTCCGACTGTGTGGGTCACAATACTGACTGGCCAGCGGATGACGGGATGAGGAGGAGAAGAGGTTTACCCGATATGTTTTGTACGAAACTGCAAAGCTTCCCAAGTCATGTCTTCACTCAGAACTCCGACGCAAATCCGGGCAGGCATTTTCCCGCCTCTACCCTCGCCCGGACACTCCCGCTGCATTAGTCCTGGCTTTGGATGCGCAAGTCGCCCGCATGGTATATTCTGCTGACAGGAAGCCACCTCGTTCAGAGGCTCGGCCGGATAGGCCTCAGTACTTGACGCAGCCGAAGTTGTTGAATGTGGTGGATCCCGTTGTGCTTCATTCTTGAGGTACAAGCAAAACCCTGACTTCGGTGAGCAAGCTCAGCAGATCTAGGGCCGGAGGAAGGAGTTTGGGTGTGGTCCAGCCAACCTTTGAGGTGGGTCCTGGGGATGTCCCCCGGGAGAAAAAAATGAAAATTTACGTGAAATAGGGCGAATTTGGGCATCTCGTGAGGCTCCAGAAAATGCAGAGACTTATAGTAAAAGAACACAAAACTACTTTTTTTCCATAATATTAAAGCCATATAGTGCCGGTGATGGTGGCATCCAAAAGATTGAAAACTGTCTGCAAGGAATAGGTACAAAAGTGATCTATAAAGATTTTAGTAACTATGATCTCGTGTCGACTTCTCCATGTATGCGATACGATCGACTCCCTACATCGAAAGAGGAGTCTCTTTCGATCGAGACTCTTCTGTCTTGTGCGATGTTTTTGCTCGCTTCCAATGTTGCCTAGTGCGTGCATTTTGATAGGAGTAACTGGTGGTAGGTGAGCTCATGAGGTCGTGCTGCAGTCTGCTTGTCACGTAGTCCTGAGCTACTTCGAAGTACATCACACGTCGGCAGAACAGTCGAGTCATGTACCTCTGGATTTTTTACACCGGTTTTGCACGAATCACATGGACCATCCAGCTGGGAAAGTGGTCCGGCCATGGCCGGACCAGCCTGACCGGTTCCGGCGGCCCTGCTGATCCAGGAGGCCGCTACGGCGGCACTGCGTCTCCCGGTAGATGCTAAACAGGCACTCACCATAAAACGACGTTCCATCTGTTTATCTAAGATCCACCGCAAGCTCTCTATCCTAGCCCCAGCAGATCTTGCTAACCCTGGTTAGTCAATATTTGGCTCTGCCCAGAACGAGCAGATAACTAAGTGAGCGGAACCGGACAATGCCTGGGCCGATGTACGTCATACGCTGCCTGCAAGTCATGGCCATGTGGCTGGAAAAGACAGACGGCCGCCAAGCTTCGAACAAGACCAGAGGAATAACAACACCAAATGCCGCAAGCCTTCGGAGGCTTCCCCTGTGCCGTTTTTAAGGGGGAGGAGCCCGCAGGAATGGGTGGACCTCCGCAAGCCATGTCCCTCACCGTCCACATTACTCCAAGAAGCCTCAGTGTCAACCCCGGTCACACCAACAGCCCGACAACAAGCAAGGCCCTCTGAAGCCAAATAGCGCCTAATACGTTTCCTTCTAGAGGTGTGCTTGCAGGCACTACCACCAGAACTGCAGTGCGGATGCACCCAGTTACCCAAGTGGGGTTTGGACTGGAGGTTGGCCGCCACGGAGGTCCAGGGACGTCCGAGCGGCCTAATTGGTGGTCAGACCAGATGCTGGCGTCAGCTGACCGAAGACTCAGAAGTCACGCAATATGTGCGAAGGTTTTGCCTGGAGTTCAGTCAGGAACCAGTCCAGTGGTGGAAGCCACTCCCCAGGAAGATGTCCTAAGATTTGACAGCAGTGGTGACGGAGGAAGTGAATGCACTGCAAGACAACAATGCCCGGGAAAAGGTGCCCCTGGCACACCTGGCGTTTTCAGCCCGCTATGTGTACCGAAAAAGAACGGTAAGATGCGCCCAGTGGCCGACCTGCGGGAATTGAACCGGTTTGTGCAATACCACCATTTTATAATGGAAGGTATTGCCACCATGCGGGAGGCACTGATAAAGAACGATTTTATGATGAAAGTGGACCTAATCAACGCATACATGTCAATGCCAGTGCATCCAACCCTCCGTCGCTGCATTTAGGTGCTGTGGCGGAGTCGGTAGTACCGATTTGCGGCTGTCCTGTTTGGCCTGGTATCTGCTCCACGGCAATTCACCAAGCTCCTTTAACCAGTGATCACCTGTTTCCAACTACAGGGTGTACGTCTGGTCGTGTACCTGGACGATATACTCATCATGGCTAGATCATTTCAAGAGGCGTTGCAGCATGCGGCCAATCTCATTCATCTGTTGCTGGCCTTGGGTTTCCAGGTAAACTTCAGCAAGTCAGAACCTCAGCTCTTACAGGTTTTGGAATTTCTGGGATTCCAGATCAGTTCAATAGCCATGCCATTAGAACTACCTACGGACAAGGTACGTTGACAACTTGCCGGAGCTTAATTGCCCAGAGGCAGGGTACGGCTCGACGCCTTGCTAGCATCCTGGAGCTGATTTCCTCAGCAGCTCTCTCGATTCTTCCGGCTTTCCGAAGCAGCATTGGAGGATTTGTCTTGGTGTCTTCAGCACCTGGAGGGGTTCTACGGGCGTTCTATTCCTCTGCCAGTTCCAGACCTGGTCATGCAGACGGATGCAGCATCAACAGTTGGCTGGGGAGCAGTCTGTGGTCATCGCCATGCATCAGGACTTTGGACAGTGGCGGAGAAGCACATTCATATCAACTGCTTGGAACTACGTGCAGCCTTCTTTGGTCTAGAATCAATAGCAAAGGATCTTAGAACCCTCACCACAGCGGCAACTGCTCTGGCCGGTTGGTTGAAGTCTCGAGGCCTCATCTTGAACGCCACCAAGAGCCAGGTTTTGACTATATCTCCCCAGCAGCATGTACAGGAAGTAACAGTCAAAAGCGGCGATTGTCTCCACCCTTCAGCGTCTTCTGAGCGCTACCTCGGCGTTCACCTTGACAATCGCCTAGATTGGGACACCTGTGTTGGTGTGATATTGTATGTACTTCAGAGGACAGGGATCAATTGTATCACATTATTCATACAATTGGCACGCTCATTTAGCTAGCACTAATATGTAGTCTGTAGCGCTAATACGTGTATGTAGTATGTACATAAGGCACTTTCCTTATGTACGTTGATTCATTCTATCTCTAGTTGGTGGAACATAACATGGCGCAGTGACCCGAACCGACGTGCTATTGCAGCACTGGACGCGGAAGGTGGAGAAGCAGCCAAGTTGGACGGCAACTTGGCCCACAGCAAAGGTGAACCAGTTTCAAGGCAGGACCACACCCTGGTCCGATTGGCGCAACTGATCGCTGATCAAGCACAGCAGGCTTCTGCCCGGGATGACCGAATGGTGGCGCTGCTAGACGCTGCGCTGAGCCAGGGTGCAAGAGAACCCCAGAGGGCAAGTCAGCCCACAAAGGAGACCTCAATCAATGTCGAACGCCCAATTTTGGACGCTACCGCCACCTTGGCAGATTTCACGACGTGGAAAGAATCGTGGGAGGACTTTGTACGCTGCCAGCACCTCAGGTCCCAGGACCGAGAAACCAGAGTGGCAGCACTGAGACAGTCCTTAGACGAGGAACTCCGGCGGTTTATCCGCCAAGACATAATCTGTATTTCCGAGGAGGACGATGATGACGCTATCATTGGGGCCATAGAGGCGTTTGTAAGACGACTTTGTAACCCTTTACTGGACAGATTGGAGTTCTACAATTTGAAACAAGACGATAATGAGTTGTTCGACTCCTTCCTGACGGTGTTGAAGGAGCTTTACAAGGCTTGTGACTTCACAGTTGGAGAATTCTGCACTACTTGCACACGTAGCCTCCGTCGATGTGGCCAATGCTGGTCGAGCGTCCAGAGGAGAGGCCAGGAGACATTGCGCGACAGGCTTGTGGTTGGCATTCGTGATGATGACACGAGGCATAGGCTTCTGTCCACCCCAGCCCTGACGCTGGAGGATGCCGTTCGGATATGCAGG